AAAGAAGTGTTCAATGACTTTTCCCCTGTTAATCATTGAAAATCTGTTGAGGCTATCTTTTATTCAGTAAGTTACAATGTGGAATAGAGAAAAATTCCTGGAAACCATGAATCAACAGATTCTTTGCCATCCATGTGTACCACAATGAAAAGATTTTCTTCATGAATTTATGCTGAATGCCGATGTTCTTTGTCTTATTCTGAAGAAATGAAGGTAATCAATGACCCATGATCTTCATTCAGGGTTGAAGGAAATAGTGAAAACTTTGACTATAAGCAAGTTGTGATTACCGAGAGTGAGACTTTCACTGTGATCTATAAAAAAAAAGCTGTAAAAATTCTGTACTTTAAAGGAGCTTACCTGTTTAGGGAACAGATTCTCCCATGAATTTTTCTTTTTTTTTTTTTCTTTCTTTTTTTAAATGATGGCTAGGATACAAGTATTCTTTATGTGAGCCATTATTAATGTTAACAAGATTATTTCAATAGTCTTACATATTCAGAATGTGCTTATTCCATATTGTGAACAGCTGGAATTTATAGTTCAGAGCTTATCTTCAAAAATTAAAGTTGTTATAAGTATTTCTTTGGGTTCTCAAACTGTTTTGCTTGATTGTCAATAATTTGGCTTCCTAAGGTGGTATTTTGAACTAATTCATTAATTCAACTAATACTTACTAATCAGACTATAATAAGTCATGGGATGATATCAGTAAACAAACAAAAATCTAGGCCCTTCCAGAGCTTGCATGATCTAGTTAAAGTTGGGAAGTTAGACAAAATTAATACTATATGGAAAGTAAAATCGAAAGGGAATAAAAATAGGGAGCTTGTAAGGATTTGGGGGTTGTAATTTATAATAGGGTGACATTTCAATGAGGAATTGCATTAGGTGAGGGAGTGAATAAGCACCAAGGCCCTGAAGGGGGGACTTACCTGAATTTTTTTAGCTTAAGCCCAGAATCAGAAAATTGGAGAGAGGTGCTGTTAACTTTGAAGAGCCTTGTGGGCCATCACAGAGAAGAAATACACAACATGATTGGAATTTACATTTTTTACAAGGTTACTTTCACTGCTAGATTGAGAAACAGACTCAATAAGATTTGACAAAGTACTTCAGTGCACACATTTAAATAAACGTCTATAACTGAAATGAAAGCTTTACCAACAATATCTTTATTTTTATTTTTCTCTTAGTAAAATGAAATACTAGTTAAATCCCAGTAGATCTGTTTCATGACTGCACAACTTATAGTTGAAAAACACTGACAAATGAGATACAGTCTCTCATTTAACAGTAAGAGGACAAATTCTTGAGTTGTGCCTTTAATGGAAAACGAACAAAATGTAACCAAAGAAAAAAAAATTAAAAATCAGTTTTCTGTGTATATCTAGCTTTAAAAAGTCAAATAATCAAATACCCATAAATCAAAAGGCCTAATAATAAAGAGCCCCATTCCCTAGAAGCAGCTGCTTTTAAAAAACCTTTTTGGTTCAGATCTCCTGGGGGCTTAACTCCATGCTTCTAAATAATATGCTGATAGTGTTTATTTTTTTGGTTTATCAACTTTAGACATTCTCTGTTGACTTCTTGCTATGACAGATGTTTTCAGTCCCACTTCTCACTACTGACCTTCCTCGTTCGGCAGTCACTGACCTGGCGCCTCTCTGGGGTTCTACCCAGAAGATTAGCCTCCGCTGCAGTCCCTCTGTGAGTATTCTGCTCTTCTGCTCCCTCCACTCTGCTTATCAGTTCACATTCTTCCATCTGTCTCCATCTTTCAGAACCATGGGCAAATTACCTAGTATTTTTTTTTAAATTTATAGTTAAAATTATTTTAAATGTTTTTTAAAAATTTATTTACTTAGGTTTTTAGTGGGAAGAAGTGGTATACACATGAACTTATATTAGCACTTTGAACTTGAAGACAAACTAGTAGTGTAGGCCAAAGCTCCCCCTCTTTTTGTTCTTTAAACTACCTACAGTATTTGTTTTTTCAGATTGAAATATATTTACACTATTTTATCTTTTTAAGAAATTGTAAAATTTTCGCATGTCATCAGATACTCTTTCCAAAAAAAATTTTTTTTTTTGTACTGGGAATTGAACTCAGGGGCACTCAACCACTATTTTGTATTTTATTAGAGACAGGATCTCAGTGAGTTGCTTAGTGCTTGCTAAGTTGCTGAGGCTGATTTGAACTCTTTTGATTCTCTTGTCTCAGCCTCCCAAGCCTGCTGGGATTACAGGCATGTGCTACCTGGCTCAAAGTAATTTAAAATAGATGTATAGCATTCTTATTTCAACTTTTACATTTTTTAAATTATAAATTACTTAAATAACTGCAGATTTTTCCTATGAAAAACAGTTTTGTGTAATAGTTGATTATTTCTCTCAAGATAAATTTTCAGTAGTGGTTATTGTTGAATCAAAGAAGATAAGCATTCTTTGAATTTCTTAATAAATATCACTGATTGCTTTCTAGAAAAGACTTGCTAATTTGATGGAATCAACCATCATTGTAGTAAAATGCCACTTTATACTATATTCTTAGCATTATTGAGAACTTTAAAAAAAAGTATTTGATTCTGTTAGGTAAAAAGAAAATAAGAGCTGGATGTGGAGGTACATGCCTGTTGTCCCAGCGACTTGGGAGACTGAGGCCTGAGGACTGCAAGTTCAAAGCCAGCCTCAGCAATTTAGCAGGGCCCTAAGCAACTTAGCAAGTCCCTGTCTCAAAAAATAAAAAAGGCTGGGGGATGTCGCTCAGTAGTTAAGTGCCCCTGGGTTAACCCACAGTATCAGAAAACAATAAAGAAAAAGAAAGTTTTTAAAGAAAATTACCAAAAGATTTTTACCATTTTGAGTGTTTTAAGGGTTTGTAAGAGCATAATTTGCCTTTTCTTCTTCTCCTTCACCACCTTCTCCTTTTTTGATGGTACTTAGGTATCCAAAGAAGGGACTTGTGCATGCTAGGCAGATACCTTACAACTTAGCTAAATTCCTAGTTCTTGCCTTTTCGTTTTTTGGAAGGAGATGGGTTTGGACCTTTGACATTATGCTCATGCATGCTAGGCAAACACTCTGCCACTGAACTGCTTTCTTATTATTGTTTTATTTTGAGATAGGATCTAGATAAATTGAGGAGGCTGGCTTCAGACTTGTGATCCTCTTGTCTCAGTTTCCCAAGTAGTCAGAATTACAGGCCTATACCATTAGACTCCAGCTGACTTTTAGTTTTTTTTTTTTTTTTTTTGGTGTGTGTGTGTTACTGGGGATTGAAATCAGAGCACTTAACCACTGAGCTACACCCCAGCCCTTTTTTGTATTTTATTTAGAGACAGGGTCTAGCTGAGTTGCTGAGGCTGGCTTTGAATTCTCTATCCTCCTGCCTTAGCCTCTGGAGCTGTTGGGATCATAGGCATGTGCCACCATGCCTTTTTTCATTTTTTATGTCTATTTTTACATGTGGGATTTTTATTTTTTAAATCATCTAATCAATTTGGCTTTCCAGCATTTTCTTTTTTTTCTCTCCTTTCTTTCCTTTTTCTTCCCTCCTTCCTCCCTCCCTGGGGATTTAACCAAGGGGGCACTTTACCACTGAATTATAGCCTCAGCCCCATTTTTAGTTTTTATTTTGTGTCAGGGTCTCCTTAAATTTCTTTGACTATTCTTTTGCATTTCTCCTTGATTACTGGGATGACAGCTTTGGCCACCCTGCCACCTCTTGTGTTTTCTGTAGATGACTTAGAAAGATGGTTCTCATTCCTAAAATTAGATAACACAGTGAATATTTTAAAGATAGCTTTGAATTTGAAGGTGTAGGGGTTATGGAAAAGTTTGTTTGAGAAAGTTGACGGCATCTGCTTTAGAAATTGGCCTTTGGCTTGTTTAGAAAATCCATTATGCCCAGCAGCTCCAGAGGCTTAGGCCTGAGGATCCCAAGTTAAAGACCAGCCTCAGCAACCTGAAGAGACCCTGACTCAAAAGAGTTAAGGATGTGGTTCAGTGGCAAAGCACCCTTTGGTTTAATCTCTGATACTAAAAGACAAAAAGAAAGAAAATCCAAATGATAATTATTATTTTTTTTTTTAAGAGTGAGAGAGAGTGAGAAAGAGGGAGAGAGAGAGAGAACTTTAATATTTATTTTTCAGTATTTGGCGGACACAGCATCTTTGTTTGTATGTGGTGCTGAGGATCGAACCATGCCAGGCGAGCGCGCTACCACTTGAGCCACATCCCCAGCCCCCAAATGATAATTATGATAAATGATAAATGATAATTTAGATTTTGGATTATTGCAGCCTGTATACGACCAGTCACTTGCCTTGAACCATAGAAGGTGCTATATTATTAAGATACCTCAATGAAAGTATTTTATAATGAGTAAAACTTTGTAGAGATGAGATATAACTCATAGCTCTGGGTAACCTGACCAAACTAGTCTTTCCACTGAAAGGGGTTGAGACTTAAGTTTTCTCCTGATGAGTCAGGAGGAATTTCTCACCTTTGGCATAATCCCATTAGAAACTTCTACTAGTTATAGTTAAGGAGGGGGAGATTAATTTACTTAGTGACTAAGGAAACTTTAGTAACATTTAGATATAAGTAGCAACATATTTAAATGCTTTTTTTTTTAAGAGAGAGAGAGAGGGAGAGAGAGAGAGAGAGAGAGAGAGAGATTTTTTTTTTAATATTTATTTTTTAGTTTTCGGCCGACACAACATCTTTGTTTTTGTATGTGGTGCTGAGGATCAAACTTGGGCCGAGCGCACCACGGCTTGAGCCACATCCCCAGCCCTTAAATGCTTTTTTAAAAAAACCAACACCTTAAAAAAACAAAATGACTAAATGGCAATTTACTAGGCAACACAGTGAAAAAAGTTATACTGGAAAGAAAGAAATTGATTACTCAGATGATTCAATTATTTGAAAAGATCCTTATTTTCAATGGTCTTTGAAATCCTTAACTGTAAAAATGTTTTGAATTTGTAATGTATTATAAAGTTCTTGAATTTTAGAAATAATATCTTTTCCTGAGAGATTACTTAATGGTGGAAAGAGAAGAATCTTACTCTGATTTTACTGGATAGAGTTACTTATGGTTTTGGTGTGTTTTTTACTCCCTTTTAAAATAGTGCATTTAAAAAAAAAGTAATATGTATGTTACGCTGCTTGTTTATATAAACATTTCTCATGGTTTTGATGCAGTGTTGTCTTCATTGTCATTTGTAATGCAGCACAAGAAAGTCTATCAAAGTGGCAGTCACATTGGTTTCTCATTTAGATTTTTAAAACAAATCTAAATGAGAAACCAATGGCATACTCCTGTAATCCTAGTGATTCTGGAGGCTGACACCAGAGGATCTCAAGTTCAAGACTAGCCTCAGCAATTTAGGAAAGCCCTAAGCAATTTAGTAAGACCCTGTCTCAAAATAAAAAGATGTGAGGATGTAGCTCACTGGTAAAGTACCCCTGGGTTCAGTCCCTTGTAACCCCCCCCCACCAAAAAAAAAAAAAAAGCTTGAATAAGTCTATAAGCTGTTTCAGGGTTATCTCATGAGTTCTTGGTACCTCACAAATAAATTGTTCTGTATCAGAATCCAAAGCTTTGATATAGCAGAATGAACAAGGAAGTCAAGAAGCAAGCATGATAGCATCCTATTATCTTATTTCAGCACCTGCACTCTCACAGTCAAGGTGCAGGGCCGGGAATCCATCCTAGAATCTTAGACATTACTGTATCTTTGTTAGTCAAAATACTGATAATTCATTTGACATTTATTATGTCCATTAAACCACTCAACTCAGGGGAGAGATTTTAGTGTACATAAAGTACTAAAAGTGCTTTTGCAGAAAACTAGACTTCTAGAAAACATAAAATAATTGTAATGGTACATTTGCTTAAAAAATTAATTTGATCTGGGCATGGTGGTACATACCTGTAATCCTAGTCACTCAGGAGTCTAAGACAGGAAGATCGAAAGTTTGAGGCCAGCCTCAGCAATGTAGTGAAACTTTGTCTCAAAATAAAAATTAAAAATGGCTGGGGATGTTGCTCAGTGATAGTACCCTGGAGTTAATCCCTTGTACCACCACCAAAAGAATAAAAAATAAAAAATAAATAAAATATATATATATATTTTTAGCTTGGTTTGCTTGGTTTACTTCTTCCCTCCCCCTCCCAGTGTCCCTGCCTCCCTCTCTTCCATTCATCCATAATACAAGTTTGGTTAATTGTTTTATGCTGGTTCTTGTTCTGGTTCTCAGTGGGGAGAACCAGACTGACCATCATTATTCTAGTCCAGGCTTTGAGTTACCACTTTGTGAAATGATAGCTTGCAACTTTGGTGGAATTTCATATCATTTCCTAAACTAAGAATTTTGTTTTTGTGATCCATTTGGAGTTACTTTGTGTGTGTAACATGCAGATTGACAGTGTTAGTGTACTAGCACTGTACACAGATGAAAATGGGCCTTTCATCTAGGGAGAAGCTCCACAGAAAGCAAAGGAGAAAGGGTTCCTACAGAAGAAAGAGAAGGGCTTTCTAGGTCATACTAAGGCAAGGAGGGCAAATGTCTCATTGTGTATGTGTGTTTGGCTGGTATGCTTGCTGAATACAGTATTGAGAAATTTTATGATTTGTAGTATGGTGTCATCTTTGGGTGTGGGCCACATCAAAGACTTAAGGGTGGGATCAGCTGTTCAAG